GAGACACCTGCAGCCCGTCTTGTCTAATAAAGGTAAAACAAACAAAGCCATGCCTTTCACTTACAAAGAAAGACGGCGTACGAATGGCCCTAACAACAAAACATCCAGCCGCACCCATAAACCCACATTACAAATAGATTAACAACACATCCTCTTCACTTGATCTGCTCCACCTTGCTTCTGCTGCTGTCTGCTCCACTCGGTTTCTGTCTGGGCACCACCAGAGCTAACCTGCATGTAAACAAAGGTGGATCGGACCAGACGGGGAGTCAGGAGTCAGAGAGGAGAGCCTCAAACAAGCAAATGTGTGCAAATGAACGAGGTACCAGACATGAATAAAGTACTCTGTTTTAAACTCCTTGTTTTTGGGCGGAGCCCCGGATGGACACTGGACTCCAGCGTGGGAGGTCACTGTGGGGCTGTTTATGAGCAGGGGGTGGGCCAACAGTTTTTAAAGGGAGCGACTCGTGCACTAACATTCATTAACATGACTGGACTAGCTGGCAAACACAGAACACGGAAGGTCGGATTACTAAACCCACAGAGGGAGAGTGAAGAATGCCACCGCTGCACTGGATCTCCACCTAACAGACCTGCTGTATTTATGCTCCAAATCTGGCGTATTACTCCTTTAAATAGATGTGTTGTAAGGTTAGTGGTTAGTGGTTAGTGGTAGCTGTGGTTTAGATTCTAACTCATTATTAAAGACAGTTTAATTAAATCGTGCATATACAACTAAACGTGACACAGAATCCGATGTTTCCTTCCCGTCTTGTTGTTCCAGCTCTGCCACTGTGAGCCGTTCTGCAGCACCAGCAGTCATACTGGTGCTGCACTGGTGTAAATTATATGACAACAAACCACAACAGTCAAGATGGAGAGGGTTCCCTGTGGGCGCTCTGTCACTCAAGACCCACTAGGGGGCGCAAAAACATCATAAACCACGACTGTACTGCACATAATTCCTTCCAAAGCTGAAGCTGGGAGACTGCAGGGACCAGCTCAGGGGCTCTTTTGATTTATTTTTTAGTTGTGCTTTATTACTATCTTTGATGTAAGTAGACCTGATCAGAACAAACACATCAAAGATAAATGGACTCGTGGAGTGAACATGTTTGAAGATGTCTGGGAGTGAATGCGGCTGAATTGAGATGCAAAAACAACACATCAATTCCAAAACTGTCTTTTGATTAATATTTCATACACACATGTAGATATAT